TTGTTGAGGTGCTGGACCCCACATGGCTGACCCTGTAGGTTGAGTCCTGGCCCCGGCAGCTTGGAAGACACGCTGGGAGCGTGTGCATGCATGCCCAAAAATCCTGAGAGGAGAGTGGAGGAAGGATTGCCCTGTGGCCACCCCCGGCCCGGGTGGTGACTTCTCACTTGCACTCTCCCTCTGTCTGTGTCTCTGCTGAGTACATGCCCCTATAGCAGTTTCCCTTTTTAAAGCAGCGGGTGTGCCTGAACTCTGCATCCGTACTAACTCACACTTCCTTGGTAGTCGACAAGTATCTGTGAGCGTCTCCCATGCTCCAGACACGGTCAACAGCAAGAGGGTGAAATTCGAAATGGGGCACAGCCGCATTCAGGAAGGGGGTCAGGCTGAACCTCAGTGAGGTCTGGGCACACCAGGGATGGGCTGGGTGGCCAGCATGGCGAGGGGCCCCTTCACTAACCGCTCGGAAAGCAACTGGTGCGTCCATACCAATGTATGGCAGCGGCTACCCCTAGCTGAGCCTTTGCTAGGCACCTGGCATTGGGCTAAGCCTTTTTAAATTTTATTTTTATTCTTTTTCTATAGGGCATGTGTATTCACTGGAGACAGACAAAGACAGATACAGAGAGAGAGAGAGTGGGAAATCACCCCCGGGAGGACGGCCACACCGCAATCCCTTCTCCTCTCAGGATTTAGGGTGCGCAAGCACACACACCTGTTGTGATTTTCAAACTGCCGGGTCTGGGACTTGAACTGTGCTGCCAGGCGTGTAGGATCCAGCACTTTAACCTCCTCATCATCTGCTGGCCCAGGCTAACTCCTGTGTGTACAGCATCTTCTCCTGCAGCGTCCAGGCCCAACGCAGTCCTGCTCCTCGCAACCTTTGCAGGGGAGGAAGGAGATAGAGCCGCTGCCCAGGCCAGCGGCTCAGGTGCTCCCAGGCGCCCTCCAGGTTAGGTGTGTGGGTCTCAGTTCATGCTGAGGAAACTGCAGTTCTGAGCATCACACTCCTTGCTCAAGGTCGAAAGGCACCAGAGCCTTAGAGCCTTACAACCTTGACAGGTGCACACACGAGCCCGGCGTGCCTTCCAGGCTGTCGAATCCAGACACCCTAACCACCACAGCACTGGCTGGAACTGTTTTCATGAGAAGTCCGTGTCCCTGTTGTTAACGAGAACCACAATCTGTGCACACAAATGGCTCTGTGTGTGTGTGTGTGTGCGCGTGTGCTTCTATCTTCAGAGCTCTCATCCCCTCCATAGACTTGCACCCGAAGCAGCTGCCATGCACAGGAGCTTTGGAATCACTGGGAGGCACTACACAGCTTCCCTTCACAGTTCTGGCTCCTGGGGACGCTCCCATCTTGAATTGCAGCTCTGGAATGCCAGTGGCTTCAAGGCCTAACAGACAGCTTGAAGATGACAGGGTCCCTCTGCAGGTGGGCCACACTCAGACCATCCCAGACCACCGCCACCCTTGAGTCTTGCTTTTCAATGCCTGGGAGCCTGTCCTGGCCAGTGCTCCTGAGGCATTAGAGCTGGGAAGGGTCTCTCTCTCTCTCTCTGTTTTTTTTGGAGAGGTTTTCGCTATAGGGCACGTGCGCTCGCCAGAAAGACAGCGAGAGACAGAGAGACAGAAAGTGAGAAATCACCCCCCCAGGGGGGATGGCCACACCGCAATCCCTTCTCCTCCATTCTCCTCTTGGGATCTTGGGCACGTACGCACACGCGCCCGGCATGAGTTTTAAGCCACCGAGTCCGGGACTCAAACCGTGGTCGACTACATGGAAGTCCAGCGACACAGCCATTACACTAACTGCTGATCCCGCTGGGAAGGATCTTAGTGGCTGTCAAGTGCTGCTCCTTCCTGGGAGGAATGAGGACCAGGCTGGAAAGGCTGTTCCTGTGTTGTCGAGAGCGAAGGACCATTGTGAGGTGGCCCTGAGAAGTCCGTTTTGATAAAATCCTTGCTGGGACAAACAGGACGAAGTCTCCACACCTGTGCGGAGGGCAGCTTATGTGCATGCTCCAGGAATCTGGGCAGTGGGCACGTTTGAGCAGCCCGAAGGTCAAGAGTGTTCAGGGTCAGAGAGCAGAGGCCAGAGGTCACCACACAGAGTGACATGCTTGGGGCCTGTCTCAGACTACTCCTGCTGCTCTAACCAAATACCGAAGACTGGGTCGTTTATAAACAATAGGCCTTTATTTCTCCCAGTGCTGGGAACGGGCAAGTCCAAGATGCCAAGAGATTCATGTCTGGTAAGCAAACAGAAAGGCTTACATAGTGGTGGCCAGCAGGTGGCGTGGTGGGTAAGGTGCTGGGCTCCCACATGTCTGACTGGTTCGAGTCCCAGACCTGGCGGCTTGAAAATCACTCTGGGCATATGTGCATGCCTCAAATCCCAGGAGCAAAAGGGGGGGGTAAGGAATTGCGATTGTGGTCCTCCCCCTTCAGGGGTGATTTCTCACTTTCCATCTCACTATCTCTCTATCTCTCTCTGGTGCCCTATGGCAAAAGCCTAAAAAGAAATAAGTCAAAGTTTAAGTAACTACTTGCAGGAAGGGAAGCTTATACACAAACTAGGAGTTCAATGACCATACACAGAAGGAGACAAAACTAAATGTAGAGCTGTTACTGTCTTTGAAGTTTGCCTTCGTACCACCCAAAATACCCCGCATCTCCGGCAGCCCTGGCCCCGTGCCTTGGGAACTTGGTGAATTTCAGTGTGAAGCAAATGCTGCACCTTGCCGGTCCCGTGCCAGGCCTGGTGCCAGCACTCCGGGGACACAGAACTGAAAGGCTCCGTCTCCCTGAGGTCCATTTAAAGCAGGACGGAGTGGACAGTTGCAGGGAAAGTCTCTGTCCTTCAGACGCTGGGCTGTGGGGAAGGACAGGTGAGTCCCTCGGAGTTCGCGCTCTCTGCCCATTGGGTTGGGGCTGGCTCCGACCCGACCCACTTCAGCTCAGTGACACTCACTGACCTGGTAGAACGCCACACCCTTGAAGGGCCTCAGGAGAGTCTAAAAGGGTTTTTCCCAGCCCGCGGCTGTCTGGGAAGAGTTCTTACTATCCTGGCCTGAGTCCTTGGGAGCTATCCTCTCCTCTCTCCTTCGGATGAACTTTCAGCTTGAAATCACTTCGTAATTGAGTCAGCGTGTGCTTCGCGATGTGCATGGCTCTCCGTCACCTTTGCTGTCCTTGAGAGCAAGCGCAGGAGACAGCAGGCTCCCAGCGGCAGGCAGCTTGAACCTCAGCTCGGCCCCTTACTAAGCGGATGGTACCAGCTACCGTGCTGGGGACGGGAAGCAGAGATGGATGTGGTTTTGCTCCCCATGTGCTGGCGAAGGCAGGGAAATCAACAGACACGGCGTAAGGAGTGCTGAGATGTGAATAAATACGGGGGGCTGTCAGAGGACAAAGGGTGTCAGACCAGAGCAGGAACACCAGGGAAGGCTTCCTGGAGGAGGTTAACAAGAGACTCAGACCTTGAGGCTGAATAAGAGCTTCCTCAGTGACGGAGGTGGGGGCAAGTTATTCTGCAGCTGGGAGCAGCATGGGGGTGAGACCGAGCCTTGTCCTCTTCAAAGGTTTCTGCCATAGGCTGTGTGCATACGCCACTGGAGAGCGACAGAGAGGAGAGTGAGAAACCACCCCTGCCACGCCTCATACCTTCTCCTCCATTCTCCCCCGGTGTTCGGTCAACCATGTGGGAGTCCAGGGCCTTAACTACCACATCACCTGTTGGCCCAAAGTTCTCTCATCTGCAAGAGGCTGGGATGATCTTACGGGCCTATTGCCATGAAAAGAGCTAATTTAGAGGCCAGTAGATGGCATAATGGTTACGTTGGACTCTCGCGGTTCCAGTCAACTGTGGCTTGAGTCCCAGACCTGGTGGCCTGAAACTCATGCTGGGCATGCGTGCGTGCCCGGAATCCACAGAGGACGGTGGAGGGGAAGGGACTGTGGCGTGGCCATGCCCTGGGGGGTGATTTCTCACTCTGTCTCTCTGTCTCTTTGTCTCTCTGTCTCTCTCACACACACAGAGCCAACGTGTGGAAACACAGGCTTGTTTGTGGGAACCCCTTGGCCACCCCCTGCAAGACCACAGCCTGTGGCTCCCCCTCGGTGTGGCACTTAGAAGTGGGTCTCGGGCTCTTTACCAGGCAGCTGTCCTGGATCGCCAGAAACCCCGCAGGCTGGTGATGGAAGGTCGTGGCTCCCTTGGGCATGGGAAGAACCCCCTCCTACAAGTTGCCCTTAACTATTCTAGCCATGCTCCGAGAGAAACCGTCATCAGAGGAGAAGCCGAGTGGCGTTGTTTGATTTACTCAGTTCACAGCAACCCCCAACAGTGATTCTTTTATGAAAAATAATGGGGCCAGCAGGTGGCATGGTGGTTAAGGCACTGGACTCTCACACAGCCGGCCCCAGTTTGAGTCCTGGACCTGGCGACCTGCAAAGCATACCAGGAGTGTGTGTATATGCTCCAAATCTCAGGAGGACAATGAAAGAGAAGGGACTGTCACGTGGCCATCCCCCTGGGGGGTAATAGCTGTTTCCCAGTCACTGTCTCTCTCCGGTGAGCCCACATGCCCTGTGACAAAAAACTTAAAAAACAAACAAAACATGTTTTTGTCTCATTTGGAGGCACCCAAAATTTTAGTTGGCCAATTATATATTATATATGTGTGTGTGTGTATGTGTGTATATATATGTATATGTACATATATAATATATGTAAAAGAATAAAGGATAAGGCTTACAGAAGTATTTTAGCTTGTAAGAAGGGCATGAACTAACTTTGGAAGCTTTCTGTATACGTTTCTAATGCGCTGTTAGTACGGACTATCTGAGAGGTAGCTGAACTCTGTCCTCCAACCAGAATCCAGAGATTTGGAACCAGAAGTGGGTGGGGCCAGGCCAGGACCCGCCCTCTGTGCCCTGTCTGAATCTGCTCTGCGCTCTGCGGCCTCTTTCACCTGTGCGCCTTCTCCCTGCAGGCTCCCCCGGCCACACTGGCTCCACGTCTGCAGCCTTGTCTACAGGGAAGCCGATGGACAGCCATGCCAGCTACACGGACACCCCCGTGAGTGCCCCAAGGACCCTGAGTGCGGTGGGGCCCCCGCTCAACGCGCTGGGCTCTCCGTATCGAGTCATCACGTCCACCATGGGGCCTCCGTCAGGCGCGCTTGCAGCCCCCCCAGGCATCAATCTGGTCGCCCCACCTAGCTCACAGGTAGGTCCTCTTCCTCTCCGAGGTCTCCCCAGCCGCTCCACCCAGGCTGCCCCTGGAGCGGACCTATGCTTACTGTGGGGTCGAGCAGTGGCCGGACTGCAGAGCCCTCATCAGCTGGGTCCTCAGGCCGTGTCTCCCGTGGTCTAGGAGACCAAAGGAATCTCCTCATGGTTTCGGTGGACCCCCTTCATTCACCTCAATTCAGTAATATGAGGGATCCTCAAAATGTTTATGGAGAATGGAATTCAAGCTTAAGTTCATTTTGGAACAAAACGTCTTGAATCCATGTATCATGTTTTCATAATACACATTTCCACGAACTTTCTGAAGGCCCTGCCTAAACATTTATCCAGCCAACAAAGTGTGCTGCATGTGCGCGTTCAAGAAATGCAGAAATGGTCAGGACAGGGTCTTTGCTTTCCAGGAGCTCACGATCGAGAGGGCAAACAGGCAGGGAAGACACGTGGAAAATCTAGAACAAGGCAGGCCGCTGCCTGCCGACTCAGAGACTGTGGGGAGACGAGGAGGACACTAACTCTGAACGCCTTCAGTTGTGGGGGAGAAGCACGGGCGTGGAGTGCTGGATGCTGCTCTGCGGACTAGGAGGTGTCTCAGCCTTCACATCCTCCCAGCAGGTGGTGTGGTGGTTAAGGAGCTGGGTTCCCACATGGCCAGCCACGGTTTGAGACCCTGTCTTGGCAGCCTGAATATCATGCAGGGCACGTGTGCACGCGTGCACAAAATTCCCAGGAGGAGGACAGAGGGGAAAGGATTGTGATGTGGCGGTCTCCCCCCACCCCACGGGGGTGATTTGTTGCTTTCCCTCTCACTTTCTCTCTGTCACTCTCCTCTCCAGTGAGCTCACATGCCCTATGACAAAAACCTTAAAAGAAAAAACAACAACAAAAAAAACCCACAAAGATCTTCATCTTTCCCCTGCTGTAATGGTTGGCTATTTGCTACGCTGATGCTGCATAACAAACAGTCCCGTCGTGACTTACAAACACAGCCATTTAGCTTCTCACTCACGAGTCTGCGTTAGGCTAGAATGGCTCCATTAGAATGATGGCTGAGCTGGGCTCGGTTGTGACCTCCTCATGTCCCAGAGTACAGGAGCTGTAGTGACCTGGTGCGTGCTTTTCTCAGGGTGACTCACAGAGGTGCAAAAGGCCAAACGGATCCAGAAAGCGCAGTGAAGTCCTCGCTTGCATCATGCCCGCTAACACTCCGTCAGTCTAAGAAGGCCCCATGGCTGCTTTAGTGGGAGGTACTACGATGGCACAGCACAAAGGACATGAGAAACTAGGAGCCACAGTCCCATCTGCCACCCCGTCCTCTCTCGTGTGTAGCAGCCAGGGCCCCTGCTTCCCCAGTCACCAGCACGCTTCGAGGCAGGATAGGCAGGTCCTCGAGACAGTCAGCTTTCGGGGTCAGCTTTTCTGGGCCCCTGGCGTCCAGGTATTGGGTAAATCCTATTCTGGCCGTTTCTGTGAGTGTTTTCGATGACATAAACATGTAAATGGGTGGACGGAGTAAAGCAGATTGCCCTCCCCATCATCGAGAGGCCTCACCCCGTTAGTTCTCTGCTCGCCTGAGGAAGGGAAAAGTCCCCTGTCTGACGGCCTTAGCATCGGGATGCCATTCTCTTCCTGCCTTCAGACATGAACCGAAACTTCGGCTCTCCTGGGTCTCAGGCCTGTGGCCCTCGGGTAATGCTGCAGGCTTTCAGCCTGCCTCCTCACCCTGTGGACCCTGGAGCTTGTCAGTCTCCATAATCGTGTGAGAGAGTTCCTTACAATAAATATCTTAGCGAGTAACATATATACACACATACATGTATCACACACACACGCGCGCGTACATGAAGGCACTTCAAAAGTCTGAGGAGGAGCCCCCAGGTGGCATGGTGGTTACAGTGCTGGATTCCTACATAGATGACCACAGTTCGAGTCCCAGGCCTGGTGGCTTGAAAAATCACACTGGGGGCATTTGTGTGCATGCCCCAAATCCTAAGAGTGGAGGAGAAGGGATTTCAGCTTGGTCATCCCCTAAAGGGGTAATTTCTCACCTTCCCTCTTTCTGTCTCTCTCTGCAAGCACATGCATCTTGTTGTAAAACAAAACAAAAAAGTTTGTAGAAAACAGGATTAAAATATAAGTTTATTTTGGTGCAAAAAATTTTGAAATCCATTCGTGTTTTTTCCCATAACACGCATTTTTCACAAACCTTTTCAAGTCTGCGTGTGTGTCCACACGTACGTGCGTATCCATGCACACATGCCTCCTGTGGGTTCTGTTTCTAGCACACTGATTAATACAGCCCTGAAGACTCCTTTAAATTTAGAGTTTTAAGGAAGAGGAAGGACTCCCTGGTGTTAGCATTTTCTAAGACTACAGAGAACTGTGGAAACAGCCTGGAGTCTCTTCAGAGAAGCCTCACATTCTAAGGGTCTGAAAGCAAAGTCATGCGGAGTCACAGAATTTTATAGCTAGTAAGGATTTCAAACATGCATCACTCCATGATTAGAGAAGTTCGAGACATGCACAGTGACTCTAGTGTCGGGACTACAGGAACTGGGGACCAGGCAGGTACACAGGTGGGAATAAATCAGCAGGCTGGTGGGGACTGTGGGGAGCTGCTCCATCCCCTTGAAGCCATTCAAATTCAAAGACTTTTTTATTTTGGGAGAGAATTTTTGCTATAGGGCACGTGCGCTCACCAGAAAGAGAGAGAGAAAGCGAGACATCACCTCCCAGGGAGGATGGCCATGCCACAATCCCTTCTCCTCTATTCTCCTCTCAGGATCTTGGGCACACATGCACACGTGCCCGGCGTGAGTCTAAACCACCGGGTCCAGGACTCAAACTGTGGTCGACTACATGGGAGTCCAGCAACGTAGCCATTATGACAACTGCTGGTCCCACAAAAACTTTTTTTCAGGTCATAGGGGGCAGGGGTTGGCAAGAGACAGTGCCCCCAGCAGGGTCTTCACCCTGAGACCCACTCCCATCCTCAGCCGGGGATGGATTACAGGCACTCGCACACATGCCCACTGTGGACAGGGAGGCCTCGGGACTGGAACTCAGGACCTCCCTATGTGGCTTCAGCACCGTGGAGCCTCGTGTAACCCCTGCACCACTGTGGCTGCTGTTGAATGGGTCGCACTTGGCTGGCCGTCTTTACCTCCGGTTCTGATTTCACGGTCCTCCCGTAAGACCCTTTCTAGGCTCCCCGTCTGAGCCCACAGGGATCCTAACAGCCTCATGCTGTTAGAGTCCTCATCCCACCAGTCAAGTAGTGAGACTCAGGGCCGAGCGACGTGTCCACCCGCACCCAGGCAGCCACCCGCAGTCACAGCTCTGTAGGGTGCTTGTGACACTGTGCTGCTCTGATGCTGCAATGTAAGTGGACTTAAACAGCACCCCACATCTTCCCCTGGGCTAACCTAGGACCGGGCAATGATACCCGGAGCTCCGGAGCCCCGAGAATCCCATTGGGGAATCACCCTGCAAGTTAAGAGAGATTGCAGCTTAGGCCACGCCCACCGCCGTGATGGGCAGGGTTGTGATACCGCTTCAGAAAGTGCTTTGTGCTTTCACCTTCTATCCCGTGAAGGACGAGAGTCTCCAGAGAGGAGAGTCCAAGCCAGCAGAAGGAGTCCCTGAGGTCCTGGGAGGCAAGTCCAGCTTTGCAGAGGGTGGTGTTCATCCAGAGAGCCATCCACGGGGACCTGCTGTGCCTCGGGTGTGACCTGGCACTGTCCCGGACTGGGGGACTAAGGTGGCCCAGTCTGTACCGTCCTGGCAATTGCAGTGCAGCAGGAAGACAGGCAGAGCGAAGGAATGGCCGAGCGTGGAGCGCTGTCATTCTATCTATGAAGAAAGTAGGCGGGGTGAGGTGAGAGGGACAGGGTCTGCAGTAGGAAGTGGGCCAGGGACCGACCCTCTGAGGCTGCTTTTAGCAACCATGCCGGAGTCTGAGTCTGACCAGTGACTCGGTCTTCAGAGCCGTGAGAGTGGCAGAGCCGCTATTCCTGGACCGAAAGTCTGTACAGAGGGATTGGGGTTGAAAGGTCAGCCGAGCACTCTGGGGCTGGCCAGCTGGGCTGCGTGCGGGGCCCAGGCCAAGTCTGGCTTTGGGGAGCTATATTAAGCTTGCCAAGCGCTGGGGAAACTCAGCGGCTGCAGCCACCGAGCAGTGTCCTGGGCTCAGGCTCTGGAGTCCCACGGCAGCAAACTTTGTCCACTGGACACGGTGACACGGGACAAACAGCCCCAGTGTCAGCCACGGTCCGTCAGACTCCAGATACCCCGGGCAGATCTTTCCCGTGCACCTGCTGCTGGTGCTCGGGACGGCCGGGTGGAGCTGGTGACCGAAGCCTGCTCCTCCCGTGACCTGGGCCTCGGGTGAGTCCGATTCGGGGTGTGCCGAGGTGGGGGCAGGCCTGGACTCCAAGCTCTGTCATTCCCTGGTTTGAGCTTCCCTTTCTGCGCTGTGGGATTTGGGGTTCAGGACTGAAGGGACAGAGCTGGTCTGGTGGAGGCCGGGCCGTGCAGCCTTCTGTAAATGTGTTTCTGTTTCACTTTTTTCTCTTATAAGGCTACAAATACATGCCCTGACTACTCTACAGGGATTTTTATACTGTCAAAGGAGACAAGGACTTGAAAAATCACTTTTTTTTTTTTTTTTGCTATAGAGTGCATGCACTCACCAGAGAGAGAGAGGGAAAGTGAGAAATTACTCCCCAGGAGGGATGGTCACACCATAATCCCTTCTCCATTCTCCTCTTGGAATTTTGGGTACAGGCACACACACCTCACATGATTTTCAAGTCACCAGGTCTGGGATTTGAACCAAGGAATCAGCCATGTGGGGTCCAGTGCCCTAATTTCCACACCACCTGCTGTCCTGAAAAATCACTTACGCAGGTGGTATGGTGACGACGATTAGCCACTCGTTCCCAGTGATGTGGGTTATACACCTGGGCGGTCATTGACTCG